CCTAACGAAGCACGATTTCTTGACTAAACCTACCAAGGTCCGTCCAAGTGGCAAAAGCTTATTGTCTTTAGGGACAATGGAGATACTCCTAAAGTGACGAGGAAACAGGAAATGAAACATTATTATTACTATTTTTTTTCTCACGCGTACTTTTACTTTACATTTCAAAACAATAATATAATTTATAAGGATTTATAGTGAACGTGGACAAGAATTAATCCATATACGTATTTTTGTTGCCAATTAAAACATTTATACTAAGCTCGATCGATTTTTCAGTGCATCGGTTTTATTCGATTGTCCATTTGTTGGAAAAATCATTTTATATTTCATGGAAATTCAAAGGGATTTAATTCCTTTGAAAGATATTTTCTTGTTTTCTTTGTTAACTATTAAAATGTAACAATTGTATATAGCGTTTGAAATGATTCGTGTAGTTTGTCTCTCGATAATGATAACTCAATGATAATTCATCAAGATCCTACTCTAGATTATTTTCATTCTTTATTTAATTGTTTAAGCAAAATTTTCTTTCGAACAAATACTCGCATTTTTCCATCTATTCTTATATATGTACTTTCTTTTAACTTGATTTACAAACCACGAGCTACGCGATCTAAATCCCTTTTTCAATCCCTTTTCTCTATCTCCCTTCTTCTTTTCTTCTTCTTTTTCTTCTTGTTGTATTCCTAACAAGAGAGAAGAGAAGAGAAGAGGCCCGTGAAAACGGATTATCGAAAGGTTTCGAGAAAAAGCCAAAGAAGCAAGGAAGGAAGGAAGGAAGGAGGGAAGGAGGGAAGGAAGGAAGGAAGGAGGGAAGGAAGGAGAAAAAAAGAAAGTCCATCGGTCTTACACAGATTCACAGGATCTTAAATTCTCCAATGCCAGCTCTCCAAAGTTTTCTCACTTTTCGACGGCCGTAAATACATATCCTAGGGGGAAGTAGCATCTAGCTAAAGCCCTTCGCTCTTTACCCTTCATCCCCGGCGTTCCTTTGCAGTTAAAGTCGCAAGCTGTTACACGAGTTCGACCGACCCCCTTTTAAGCTCATTCTCTCTCATTCATAATACTACGTTTCTTATATTTTTTTGACCAACATTTACTACTACTCTCCTAGATTTTGTCTTGTTCACGCGCATATACAAATTAGTCTTTAATATTCAACTAGAGCTTTTGTTTTTCTATTTTAGTAGGAAAGTCAGCAACCGAGTAGGATAATTTCATTTTCACGAAGCGCCGCGAATTCGAACTTTAATTAATCGAATTCAAGCTGAACTAACTCCCCCTCGTCTCTCTTTCTCTTTTTAGCTCTCTTTCGCCTAACCCCTTCTTCGACTTTATATCTCGTCCTCTCTCAAGGGAGAGAAGCGTCGATTCCGGAAATTAGTAAGATCGCACATGCGGAACACGAAGCTTTCCACCATTCCTATATACTATCTTTGTATAGTTTACAATAGTAGGTACTGCCTGCTACACGGTATATATATATTCGAAAATTGAAAATTAAAAAAAGAAAACAAAGAAAAATTCTATGTATATTCACATAGAGTTTATCAAGGCTTCGGTATCACGCTTCGATCCTTCCGCCCCTTTTGTTTAAGCTCCCCCTACCATCCCATTCGTCTTTCTTTCTTCTTCTCTTATTTTCGATATCACGTATCGCCGAGAGTTAGATTTCATTTTAAGAGGATACAAACTAATTCAATCTAATCTTTTTCCATCTCTTATCTCATACATACATATACTTTAGAGTATATCTACAAGAAGATTAATAAGATACACTTTCTTTTATTAATTCCTTTTATTGTTCTTTTGTTGTTTCAATATTTTTTCTTCATAATTTTCTGTACATCAAAACAGAAAGTCTGTTTTTTTGTCGTTGTCGTGAAGCTTGTTGTTTTACCTTTACTATATTTATTCGCCTATCCTTCCCTTATCCCTCGGATCATCTTTTTCCCTTTTTCTTTCACTCTTTTTGCTTAAGTAGTAAACTTGTAAGTGGCGAAATAAAGTTGGAGGTTTCGTGCTCCCGTGGCTGTGACAGTTTAATTAATATCTTTCATCGTCAAAGGAAAAAGTTGCTGAACTAACTACTCGCGTAGGAGCTGCTGCTCGGCAAGGCTCACCAAGCCCGTGTTTCAACCACTTCGGCTTCGAACGCCACGCCACTCCACGCCACGCCACGCCACGCCACGCCCTTTTGTACCCAACTTCAATGATGTCTTTTCCTTTTCTTTTCCTTTCCTTTTTATTCCCTTTTTATCGCCGGATATCTCTCTGTTTACGCTTGATTACAGATATCATTTGTTTCATTTGTTTTATTTACAAAAGAAATCATCGGAAAATAATCAGTCAGTATTTCCATTATACATTAATAGAGACTAGCATGCAGCAAAAAGAACCAAAAAAAAATCCAATAATTTAAATTGAAATAAAACGGTAGTAAAATTAATGTCACAAAAGAAAGCTTTATTAATTGGATCAAAAAGAAAAAGAATAAAGTAATCCTACGATTGCAAAAAAAAAAAAAGAAAAAACAAGGAAAAAATGTAGAAGAGAAAATCCAATTAAAATCAATATTAATTGGATGCAAAACCTCATTGTATCTTTTTTCTTTGTTGCATCGTTGGAATTTCATTTCATCTCAAATAGATAAATATCTAATTTCGAATCGTAATTCTTGTGGTAATTGGTTAAATAGTTAGTAGTAGTAACAATGATTTCAACGCAAAGACCGTAGAAGAATTTTTCTCGAACGTCCATTAAATGGATAAGGTAGTTTTGATAAATCGTTGTACGAGTTCTTGTCCGTCCAAAGTTTTCGACGGTCCACTTGGAAACGCGATGAATCATTTCTCAAGGTTCTTCGATGATTTCGTTCGATGCACCGACCCTCCTCTCTCAGTCAAATGGATTTCTCTAGTTAATCGCTCGTCTAGCCTTACCCTAATAACCAATTCCTGATAATATCAATTTTTCTTTTGATTTATTTATTTACCTGTTTTTTTTTTTTTTTTCAATTCGAATCCATATTGAAAATTGTCCATCCCTGGACGGAAGTTTTTGGGGCTGAAAAGTGTGGAACACGCCCCCCTCTTCGACTATACGCTGGATTCCATGGTAGAACCATGATTCTTCTTAGAGCTCGTCCCAGTTTTACGATCGAGTTTTTGCGAATGCCGTATTTTTATTTTCTTTATTCTTTTTCTTCCAAAAGAGAAAAGTAAAAGCTCGAGAAAGGATCCATCGTTTTCGAAAGGTCCTTCTGATTCGATCCAAATTTCAATCCTAAATTCTTTCCCAAAGAGAAAAGGTTAATGTCAACCTATTCGTAATACAAATAAGATGAATGACTTTCCTATTCGGAAAAACTATTATCTTTTATGGCTAACACAACTCTTTATTATCGATATTTCTATGGGAAGGATGTGGCGGTTATGGGTAGGAATTTGGTATACTTGGGACATGATTTTTCTCAATTTAAGAAGGTGAGAGAAAATCACGACTCGCGTGGGCAGGCTCGTATCCCTGAAGCGGATCCTTCCCATGAAAGGTATCCACCCGCTACCCCTAACTCTTACGTTAGTAGCATTCATTAATATAGACCCAGTTTAATTAGATAATATTCATAATCATAATTTACTTGTGAAGTTCTTTTGAAAAGATTTTCTGAATAATTACTTGCAAATTTATCGAATAGCTCTCAGAGAGAACGAAATGGAACTCATTCTATATTCACTTTTAATTCGTACTAATTAATCAACACCAACTAAATAAATACAGGAGCATAAAGTATTTACAAATATTCGCTACTTTGATCTTCGAGTTAAATTAAAGGTATTTTTGAAAAGCTTTAACATTATGCAGATAGGTATATTTTAGTATCACTAATTATCTTATTATTGTACATTAATCAAATAGTTGAAAATTCGTGTTACTCCTTTTGCAACTATTTTCGCTAAATACTTGCAAATTTATTTGATAACTCTTAAAGAACGAATAGCATCCTAAAAATGCACTAACGCCCATATTAGATTCTTCACGTCGCCTCTTCCAAGCGAATACCGAGATGCTTAAGGTGAAGCATATTCCCGCCGTCTGTCAGACATACTATCACTATATACCTACATATAGTATGTAGTATAACTATGTATTATGTTACTTTACGTGTCAGGTGCATATGTTAGATTGTCGTCAACATCAAATTGACAATTTGTCACTCCATGCGTATTTAATATTAGCAAAATTGTCATTTACTTGCGTACACAATGAAACACATTTTACTCTCATCATTTTTTCTATAACTTGTGTAGTGCGTGTGAAACACAACTTAACACAGGGGTAACGACGAACATTTTCTAATACTAAATATACTATACGTGTTTCATCGAATACGATTAATTAGAAGCGTTAATTAAATAAGGTCGAGGGTCGGGAACAAGAATTATGCTAACGAAATTATGCTGGGAGTGCAAAGTCGTTCAGTTGACGACTCATCGACTTAGGAAATTTCGAGGGAACCTCCTTCTCCTCTCTCTCTCTCTCTCTCTCCCACTATTTTTTCTTTTTTTTTTTTTTTTGCAAATTTGAGCTTCGAGCATAATCATAATACGGTTTTATCGTTATGAAGGCCCAAGTATACATCGTTCGAGAATTTACCTAAGATAGAAGCTACGATAGGAGAGTTCTGATCCAACGGAGAAGATTAGTATGACGATAGAATTTGTGTAAGCTTGTTAGAAAAGAGATGCCTGTAGTAGTTGTGCTGTAATAGAATTGCTCCTTTTACTCGATTTCACTAATTAAGTGAATTTACCTTAGCTAAATTCTCATAATTATTTGACCTAAATTCTATGCTACACAAAAGAAAGGTATTAAACCAAAAAATACATTGAACAAATTATATGATTCATCTTTCACTAATAAAGTTCATTCAAATAAAATAGAAATAAACAATTTGTGTAAGAATGTTGACAACTCCAATTGCTTGTGGGGTTTACCTTGTAACGTAGGATTCGTTGCGAACGAGGAGGAGGAGGCGTCTTGTCGTATGGAGTCACTGGTAATTGCCGCCCTTCCGAGATTTCCACCATAATCTTCGAGTAGTACGCACCACAGTAATAGTTGTGCCACCCTCATTCTGCGAGCAAATAAAATCACACACACACAGAGAGAGAGAGAGAGAGAGAGAGAGAGAGAGAGGAGAGGATAACTCGAAAATGTTTTGTTTTTTTTCGTATTGCTTAGAAAATAGTACACGTGTTTCTTCAACAAATGGTAATATAACTTGATCTCACCTAAAGGAAAATATTATCCGATTCTTTCGTTATAATAGCATAGCGGAAATAACAAAAATTCCAATACACGATGGGTGAGCTTCGATTATCAGATTTAAACTTACGAGCCAAATGGTGAAGGCTTTTTAAAAATTACATTATTAAAAAATACCACGAATATAGAGACGGGATTGGCGCTAATGTTCTCTCCATTTTCTACAAATTGTTTTTCCGTGTAAAAAGTCCGTCGCGTTAAAGTCGATAATAACGAGAGAGAGAGAGAGAGAGAGAGAGAGAGGAAAAATAAGGCAAAAATTAATGAAGACACCGTCACATTTTTCTAATTGCCCGAATTATACGAAATAATAATGATTAATATTTAAGCTTAAATTGAAAAATAAAAGTTCATCTTTTTGTTTCGATTCATAATAACATCTTGTGTGTTCACTGAACGTTAAAGCTTCGAAAAGATAGATTCCTTTACTGGGATAATTTAATCGTCCTCAAATCGAGCTGACTTTCTTGCAAACCTTCAAAGGATATCGTCCTCGAAACGTTCATAATACGCTTTCGATCCAACGATTCTCCAAGATTAATTGCTACAAATATCGAGACGTTATCCACCACTAAGGATTTCCTACCCCCACTACAATACCCTACTCTCACCACCATCCTTTTCCGTAACATTAAACTTACTTCACGATCCTATTCAATAAATTCTAACAGTTTTAAAGTAATACCCAGACTCGTTCTAAGTATCGACGAAACGTTTTACTCTTACAAACTTAACGCGCTGATGCTGCGAGGAGAAAGAGTTTGGTTAGTCCTGGGGAACTTAAAGGGGGTAGGGAAAGAAAAAGGGCTTGCTGAAATGTTTCAGATTTTACTTGAAAATTCCGACTCTTAAAAGAAAGTCTTGTGTTACCTTTACTTCTTCAACAATAAACGTCTTTTTACAAGTATTGAATTATAATACCTACTTTTTCTTTGCACACCAATATACTACGTTTTAATATCGATCTAACTCGTATTTTTTTTTTTACTCTCAATTTGCTAGAATAATAATAATTAATAACTTTTGTTAATAATACTAAAAAGCATTTGACGCGCGCGTCGTTGATTCCACTCGAAGAAAACTTGTTTTAGACAGTGATAAATCTTTTCCAGTCTTACTGTCCTTTCCTACTTTGTCTTCTTTCCCTTTCCATTCTCTTTCTCATTCATTTACTACAACAATATATACATACATATACATACATATACATATTATATATATATATATATAGACTTGTGAAAAGATAATACAACAGTTTCTCCAGCTCGTTTTACAAAGATAGAATATATCCTAGGATGTTATCACTTGAAATTTACTGGAGTAAATTTCAGAAGTACTTTGTTTAGTTTGTATTTTCGAATTCTGTATATTTTTATCATTCAATTTATTTATTCATAATTTTGTAATACTTTCATAATTTTGTAATATTATAATATTGACAAGTATTAAAAATTAGAAATCCGTAACAATATAGATTAACCCTTTGACTGCTGAACACTCCTGGCCTATGCAGTCCGTACGGACGGCGCGCGGCGAGTACTAACGATCGCTATGGACTGAATACTTTTTCGGTAGACTGAACTCTGTTGATGAACTACTCAAAGCATAAATCGTACTTTCGTACGAGATTAAATAATTCAAGAGCGTTATTTTTTAGAATTAATTATTTATTAGTATTATTTTTTAGTATTCCTTATTATTGACGTTGAAACTTAAAATAAACTAAAATTTGTGTAACAAAATAGAAAACAATAAACTGAAAAACTAAATTTAATAAATATAATATAATATATATATATATATATWTATATATATTATAATATAATGCATTTTTGGCATTTGTTTATTGCCGTTGCTAAGGAATGCATTTATACGTATCTCACAGACGCATAATGGTATTAATTCTGTGTTGGTGCTCGAAAAATTGACAAATGCATATATGCGTCCTTAGTCCATGCCGAACACTTACAGAAAGTGCATATATGCGTCCTTAGTCCATACCGATAGCTTCCGACAGACGCATATATGCGTCTGTAGCAGTCAAAGGGTTAATAAAGTACTACTAAATTCTCAAGATGGGTGTATCCTTCGTTGCTATCGAGTAAAAGAGAAAAAAACTGAAACATGACTCCTGGGGCTATACTCGTTCTTCTATCTTACGTTGTTGGACAAACGCAGCACACAAGAGGAAAGGACAATTATTATCTCTCTAACATAGGTTCTACCGTAAATAACTATCCCAGAGATTCGACTCGCGTTGTCTGGACAATTTAGTATACCTGCTACCACCACCACCACCACCACCACCACCACAAAAATACCCCTTGTATAAGATATTTTTGATTGCTTACCACGATACCTAGTACGATACCTAGTACAATACCTACTACAATACCTACTACAATACCTAGTACAATACGTATATACGTATTGAGCCATTTGCTTTTATTTACGATTCGACTAAATGAAAACTTTCTATCTTTCTCTTATCTTTTTCTCTTATCTTTTTGCTATTTTTCGCGATACCTATGAACGTTTTTCTCTTTCATTTTCTTCTTTTACTTTTTCCGACGATATTTTTTCTTCCTTTCTTCCTTTCTTCCTTTCTTCCATTTCTTTGGTCCTTTCTCAAGCACTTCTGGACCACCATCGGATTCTTAGCTCTTTATTTTATATCAGCCGAGAAAAACGATCGATGATCGTGTGTGCGAACGAGTGAATGAGAGAGAAAATATCTTCCAGGTCCAGTAGTGCCTCTTTGCCACAGGATATCTCCAAGGACACTGCTTTCGACGTGTGCACCTCACAGACTTTCCGACAGCACCTTCCTTTTCTTCAACTTCTTTTTCTTTAACTTTTTCTTTTTTTTCTTTTTCACTCATTGCGATTTGTATCAATCACATTAACGGTGAGAAAGAGATGCGTTTTTGAGTTGTACTTGGAGCAAGAATTTGCGATTAAGGAAGGAAGGAAGGAAGGAAGGAAGGAAGGAAGGGAGAAAGAAAGGAAAAGTTGCAGGAAACTAAAGGATTTCCTTGATGATTCTCTTTTCCTTCGGTTAGTGTGCGAACGTGAAAGAAAATAAATTAATGACTTGCCTTGAGATTAAATACGCTACTTCTCGAATCGATTTAATCCCATCGACTTTTCCGATATCTTTAGAAAATAAATTGCTGGATTAGTTTATTTCGTGAAATATTTGTAGGACCCCTTTCCTATATTGTATATTATCTATGTATTTGTATAATAAAAAATGATGTCAACGTAATTTACATTGATGAAGATTTCATTGTAATAACATTTCTCCTATCTCTGTTGAAAATGTTCTCGAAACTTAATTGGTTCGTAAAGTCGATTCGTATACTTAGGAAAGGATTCACCGTGTCGTACTGACCAAAATCGTAAAACTGGGGGAATCCGAAATGGGATTCTATTTGGTTTGAAATTTTATGTATTTCCGATCAAGAATGTCCTATTTCCAAGTCTATTACCGCACGTATGCGCGTTCGCTCGTTATCTCTCTTGCACAAATGCCAATTGCTAAGTATACTAAAAGTATACTAAAAGTATACCAAAAGTATACCAAAATATCGATTTTACATCCTAAGATAATGATATACATGTCTCTTTTATTTGACGAATAGATCTTATCTATAATTATAACTTTGTGTGGATTATAATAAATACGAACTATGAACTCTCTTGAATCACTAATTACAAGCAATCAGAAAGTAATTAAATTGCAATTTGTCCTTGGTGGCCCGTTTGATCGATGGATTTTCACGGTGCAAAGGGTTCAACGGATCTTGATTAAGATTCCTTACGATTTCAAACGACCAAGAGAGAACACAACGTAAGAGAGAGAGAGAGAGAGAGAGAAAGAAAGAGAGAGAGAGAGGACCTTTGACGTTTTATTTCCTGAACAAATTCTTCTAACGATTCGATTCTATTCGATTCGATTCTATTCGATTCTATTCGATTCGACAAATTTTCTTCTTTAAGGTTGATTATTATTTCGCATAAATTTCAACAAGTTTTTTTTTCTTTTTTGTTCAAATGTAAACGCGTGTATGCATTGAGAGATAAGATGTTTCGCATTAACCAAGAAATTCTAGTTATTGAAAATGAAATAATTGAATAAAGAACAGCGGTTAGTCTAAATATAAAAGGAAAATCAAATAAAATAGATGCAATTATGTCGCTAACAACTATTGATATAAACAAAAGGGTCTATGTAACAATGTAATATTGATTGAGACAGTATTTATTGGAGATATGAGCGAACGAGCAAAGCATCGCATCGATTCACAAAATGCGCTGCGACAAAATTACGCGGATAATCGTAGAGAGTAATTAATTCACGAAACAAACGAACGCATTCAACGGATTGCGAAAAAACAAAAACAAAAACCAATCGATGCAAGATATTTATTGAAATTACTTATTAATGCGAAAGACAAAAAGTGATTAAATTTCAATTTCGTCGATTAGAACATTTGGAAAAGATTGAAAACATTTATAAAATATGAATGAATGAAATATAATATGACGAGATATTGACTCTCTAAAGACAATCGGTGAAGGGGTGGGTGGGTGTCTGGTTGGGGGGAGGGGGATTGATTAGTTTGTAGAATATTGAAAATCTTTTGTGGTCCAGTCGAGAAGGTCAATGCTGAGATTCGACGATTCTTCCTTTTCTATTTTTACAAGCGAAATTTCCATTGGATTTGTAGTTCTGCGATACAACTTTTTCCCCGATATGTCTGTATTTGTAGTCTATATATAGTACTTGCTCAGCAGAATAAAAAGTTTACCTTACAAATATTTCCTATAGGAAGAATGGTAGAATGGTAGAATGGTAGAATGGTAGAATGGTGGAAATGTTAGAAAGCGATATGAACGAATCCCACTTTAAGAAACGATTTTCTTCGTGAGAGAGATAGATAGAAAACCGGTCGAACGAAGATAAGGAAAACTTCGAGCATAACTTTATTTGCTTCGTCGTTTTATCATATAAATCGTTTGATCGGATCATTTCAATTATTTCTTATCTTACTTTTTTTTCCTTTTTTCTTTTTTTCTTTTTTTCTTTTTTTCTTTTTTTCTTTTTTTCTTTTTTTCATTCAATAATTATTACATATGATTAGTATAGAGTCCGATATAACTATATCTAATTAACGATTTTTGAATTTTCTCTTATTCGATATATGTTATTTCTGTTGTTTCTACGTTCGGAATTAATAATGATTAGGTCAATGATTAGAATCGAGACAAACATTATAATTATCAATTATCGACAGTTTCTCCATCTCTCTTTCTCTAATTCCTATCTATATTCGAAATGAATATTGATTAGAATGATGATTAAAATGAAAAATGATAAATATTTGAATAATGAATTGAACATTAGAAACATTTGTCAATACGTTGCTTTATTTTCCGCTTATTTGAAATATTATAATACGATGGTATTATGAAGAATTAGATTTGTTTTGTTAATTTACAATTGTGAATAATTTGTATGCGATTAGAAAGATTCGTCAGAATCAGACGCGTAACTAGGAAACTGTTGTTCGGGCAGTCGCTTTGATTTCACTTAATCGCGGTCTCTCTCTCTCTCTCTCTCTCTCTCTCTCCACCAAAGTACGACGAAACTTCTTAGACATCTGCGACGTTCCCAGAAACTTTGGCCAAGAGCTATCTCTCTGATTTCATGTCTCTTTCTCTTGGTAACATACTGACGAAACACCATGCCAAGTATATGCGTGTATTCCTCTCTCGTTCCAACAGTGGGATTCAACTCACAGATTTCATAATGAGATCAAGTTTAAGATTAAAGTTTAAATCTCGTGTTAACGATATTATATTACAAACGAATATTCAAAATAGTATATGAAATATATGTTAGAAAAGAATTATTTACCTCGTGAAACAAATGTTTCATTATAGTCTAAGGGGTTGTATCGCTTAGCTTCATGTGCGTCTGTACGTATCCTTTTTTAATTCGTTTAATAATAATAATAATAATAATAATAATAATTTGGAAACATTGTGTTTTTCATGAAACACTTCCTGTCGGCAAACTGCTTAGACAAAAACAACTTGTTTGTTAAGAATTAATTGAACACTTGGAACACAGGCTGGAACGCAACGCGGACGCACCATTC